TTGTAAGAGAGCATAAGACTTAGCCAGTATAGGTTAAAGGCTGTAGTAATTTCAGATAAGAGACAAATTGGTCCTGAATGGGTGAGAGTCAAAATGTAAAATCTTGGCAAAGAACAGCAGATTACCAAGACCTAGCAACTGTGGGGATTAGAGAGGAAGGAAATTATTGAAGAGGATTATGAATATTTTTCATTGATGGGGGAGTTTCATTTTGAATCTGTTAATTTTGAGGTATCTTTGGGACATCCTGTTGGAAATTTAGATCATGAATTCAGGAAAAACTTTTTAGAGTTGGTGACCTTTGCCTTGAAGTTGTTAGGGAGGAGGCGTTGATATTGTACACTTTTGAGCTTGTCCATGGAGGCAGTAGTAAGCAATTTATAGAAAGAGTCAATAAGAGTCATTTAAGGGAAGAACAAGAATTACAGAGAATCAAAAGGAATTGAATGGAAGTATTAGTAGCATACTATGTTCTCGAGACCAAGAATAGGAAGCAGTTTGTGGCATCTGGCCTCTCTATTTTAAATATATATTTTTCTCTTTGTAAATGGTATTTTGTCACTGTGCAGACATCTGGGTCAGTATTCACTTTTTACCTAACAGTTTTAGCATCCATTGATTTTCTTTGACCAAATGAGTTATTTCATTAGGAGTTAAAAATTGTGAGTTTTGTAATTTCATTATTCTACTTTGCACTAGTTGGCATTTTTCTGAAAAGACAAGCTTTTTTCCCTTTTCCATTGACATTTTTGGCTTCTCTGAAATACGGTTTCTATCGAAAGTCAGAATATGTTTTTAATACTTTTTCCTCCTTAGTGGAGGAAAATGAATAGAACAGCCAGGTTCCTATCCCATGGTAGTTAGCCCCAAAATCCTTGACATAAAAATTCTACTTGAGTTTCTCTATACTTTCAACCCCTCTTGTCTTCCTGGACATTTAAGGTGCTGTCATTAGTAATTTTATGTGCCCTTTATGACTTATTTGAATTTCTCATTAGTATGGACTATCACGTGAAACTGATAGTTTTGCTTTGTTTTGAAGTTAACATGTTCACGTTTTTAAGGAGGGGCTCTTAGTATTTAGGAATACACGAGGTTTAGTGTTTTTATTTGCTTCATTTTTTTTTTTTTTTGGACTTTGTCTCTGTCCTCTGTTTATTTTACCATTTCTGTGTTCCTATAGGCAAGGTCAGTCCCCAGTCTCTGGGCCAGGAGCAGCATCTAACTCCTACCAGCATTCTTCTGCACTCACATTTATGCTCTGTCACAGCTTTCTTGAGCTGCTCTGATCAGAAATGTACCAATATTTTCTAGTAAAAAGTACTTGTTGCTAATGTTTAATGCTGCTATTGAGTTTTAAAAAGTTCATTTTCTGGCCCTAGCCAGTTTTGTTCAGTGGATAGAGCATTGGCCTGGGGACCGAAGGGTCCTGAGTTCAATTCTGTTCAAGGGCAGGTACTTAGGTTATAGACTTGATCCCTGACCCTGGTCAGGGTACTTGTGGGAGGCAACCAATTGATGTCTCTCTCTCATATCTATGTTTCTCTCTTTCTCTGTCTCTCCCCTGCCCTTCCACTCTCTTTAAAAATCAATGGAAAAATATCTTTGAGTGAGGATTAACAACAACAAAAAGTTTATTTTCTGTAGGTTAATTTTAAAAAACCTTGAAAAATTTTATGTTAAAGTTTACATTGGTTAATATGTATAGATTAAAAGTTTTTTTTTCCATTTTACAGTTTTGGCATAGATCCAAGGCTATAAATTTATTTTTAAGTTTTATTATCTGACTAGATGCCTGGTGCATGAAATTCATGCAGGGCTGTGTGTGTCCCTCAGCCCAGCCTGCACCTTCTCCAATCTGGGACCCCTCGAGGGGTGTCTGACTGCCCTCCCCTGCAGGCCTGGTTCCCCCCAACCGCCCTCCCCTTCTGGTCTGATCGCCCACAACTGCCCTCCCCTGCCAGCCATCTTGTGTTCACATGGGGTGGCCATTTTGTGTGTTGGAGTGATGGTCAATTTGCATATTACCTCTTTATTATATAGGATGGGACTCATGCAGGAACACAAACAATATCCTAAACTTTGCTAAGGTGTAGACAATACAAACCTTGCAAATAATTATTTTTCTATGTTTATATTCACTGTTCATGGTTTAAGTAGCAAAGAAGAATCAGTCATGTATATAAGATGTATAGATAGCCTACCCTTCACAAAGTTATTTAGGAGAATGTCTCAGTACTTCTCTTGAAGTGGGGTATTGATGTAAGTGGGGTGAAGTCAGGTTAACATTTCTAATTTGTTTGTATAGGAGCTATTTAGATATTGAACTAAAATGTTCGCGTTTCTGACCTTGTATTAGCCTTCTCATTTCTTTTTAGAGCATTGAAATTAAGTTTTACAGCCTGATAGCCAAAGAGAATTGTTTAAGCTGTGATTCAAAGCAATCATTCAATAGCTTGTGGTTGCTCTTGATATTTTAACCCTTACATGCTGAGACATGAACATGACAAAAAGCTTCTCTCAGGAACAAACAAAGGAGAAAATGCCAGTCACTTAACCTCCAGTTGTTAACATCTCAGGAAATTGTGCTGTGAATATTGTCCTGTTTTTGTTTTGTTTGATTTTTGCTTTTGTTGCTGGTAAAATAGATGATAAGCCAATTTTAAAACATAAAGAGGCCATTAAGTGTGCTGATGTTGCTAAGGGTGGGAAAGTGCTCACAAAACAGTGATCACTGGCTATGGAAGAGATGGAAAAACTGTTGATTTGGATAAAGGAAAAGCAGTTAGACAATGACAGCATTTTGGAGGAAGTGATATAAGAAAAAAGGAGGATGTTGTGCTCTTGGAAGGAGCACTGAAGGTGACTTGTTTAAGGCTAGTAGGGAGTGGTTTGATATATTGAAGAAAAGAAGTGTTTGTTTATAGATTCTACTGTACATTATACATGTACTGTATATAAGTAAAGTTAAAACAGGGATTCATTTACGGGTCTGGAACAGATTAATTCAATTTACATTATTTCTAATGGCAAAACACTGATTTATGTGTGTGTGTGTGTTTTTGTGTGTGTGTGTGTTTTTTTTTTAACAAATTGCTTCTCGAACAGCCTTTCAGAACAAATTAAGTTTGAGAACCGAGGTCCCACTGTATTTATTAACTGGCTAGTTTGTGTGTGTGTTCTTTCTTTTTTATTTTTTTAAGGAAATCAAATGTTTTATACTATTTGAAATAAGGCAGGCCCCTCAATTCAGGGGTCCTGGTAGAACACAAAACATACTCGGGAGCCAGGCAGCAAGGAAAATACCTTTACTCCTGCAGGAGGGTGCACAGCACATGGTCTGGGAGCACATGCACACCGAGCAGGCGGTTTGCTTGGCTTTTTAATCCTGACGTATGTGACCTGTCCCTCACTGTAGTTTGTAGCTCAGGTGCACAATCTTGCGTGATTGCCTAATTCAAAGGGACGGGTTGACCTTTGCCGTTTCAAGATGGTGTCCCCCAGGGGAGCTGCAAGCAATGCAGCCAACATGGCGGCTGCCAAGTTATGTCCAAAATGGTGGCTGTCTAAGCTGTTCTTTGATAGAAAAGATGATTTGTTTTTTCTCACAGTACCATTTCCTTACACAATCAGTTTTTCAGGTTGTATCACATTTCGTCAGGGTTAATGGATACAGAGGATGAATATCATAAGTCAAATTGAAACTGACAATTGTGCATTGTCACAGAAGAGTATTAAAGATTCAAGTTATCACTCTAGCAATGGAAACAGCATTGGTCTCCAACAGCTTAAAGATATCACTGTCGCCAGAACCGGTTTGGCTCAGTGGATAGAGCGTCGGCCTGCGGACTGAAGGGTCCCAGGTTCGATTCCGGTTAAGGGCATGTACCTGGGTTGCGGGCACATCCCCGGTAGGAGATGTGCAGGAGGCAGCTGATCGATGTTTCTCTCTCATCAATGTTTCTAACTCTCTATCTCTCTCCCTTCCTCTCTGTAAAAAATCAATAAAATATATTTTTTAAAAAAAAGACATCACTGTCATATTACTGTGGACAATTATGTGTCTACTAGAGGCCCAGTGCACGAATTTTTGCATGGGTGGGGTTCCTTGGGGTGGCCTGCGGAGATCGGGCCCCAGCTCGTGCCCCCAGCCTCACAGCCTTGAAGTCCCGCCTGGCACCCCACCTTGGTCTGGCATTGCCCCCTCACCTTCTCCACATTCTCGCCTGCGGGGTGATCTATTGGGGCCAGCCCCCTCCCCCGCCCCCTACTCCCAACCAGGCTCCCTCAGTGCCTGGGAGCCAGGCGGCGGCCCCGCCCCTCGCCACTGGTAACAGTCTGCGGGATGATCAGCAGGTGTGATCCGGCCCCTGCTTGCACTCACCTTGGCCTGGTGCCGCCTGCTCATCTGCTCCACCATCCCATGAGGGTCCCACTCCCATCAGGGCTGGCAGCGCCTCATCACCAATGCCTGCCATGTTTTGCTCTGTCCCCTGGTGGTCAGCACATGTCCTAGCGAGTGTTTGAACTCCCCTTAGAACAATTGCCCGAGGGGACAATTTGCATATTAGGCTGTTGTTATATAGGATTATGTACCATGTATTGGGATAGACTAATTTTTTCTTTACTTAATGTTTGAAATAATGCTTACAAATAGCTAGTGAATATTACAAGCTCAGAACAGCAATAGGGTCTTACATCTCTTTCTCAAAGACATAAAACCAGAAAGATCTAAATAGGGAGCCAAATTCATTAGTCTTTCTTATTTTAAACATTTTTTATAACTATAGAAAATACCTCAAAATATTATTATGAGATTGGAAAGAAGAAGAGAAAAAAACCAGTAAAAGTTTTGTATGGAAAGTTTTTTTGTTGTTGTTGTTTTTGGTACATATATTTGGCTTGGAGAGGTTGATTTGGGGGGCAAGTGCAAACCAGGTGCATCATTAATTTGCAGAATCTGTTTTTTACAAAACAACTTTTTGTTTCTTTTTGAATAGAAAGATGAAAATTACAGAAGCCTCCCACGAGATGCTAGTCACTGGTCTAACCAATTTCAGAGAGACAATGCTCGATCATCTCTGAGTGCTAGTCACCCCATGGTGGACAAATGGCTGGAGAAGCAAGAACAGGTAACATAAGAAATCCTTTACCATGCATTTTTGGTATAATATCCTAACCCATGTTTTCCTCCATTTCAATAATGATTAAAGGTAAATTATTCTAACAGACTTTAGTTAAGTAACAGGCTGTATGTCAGAGTTTGTCTAACATTAATGTAAAATATCTCTGTGGTGGTTCCTGAGCACAGGTTCCTCATAAGGAGTTATTAATATTTGTGATTCTGAAACATCACAACTTTGGGTTTTGTTATGTCGCTGAGCCACAGATATTTGGCAGTGAATAATGCAATTTATAAGTAGGCTTTTAAGACCACTCATGGGTTCTTCTCTTCTTCTATAGCCAGTAAGTCAAAGGATCTGAAGAGGCAAATTAAAATTTCATTATATCTGACTTAACTTTATGAAAGAAATATATGCTATTGTGTTGTTTCAGAATTTAGATTGCCATGCTTGTGGATTTATCCTTTCTTATGTCAAGGAACTATTTTAGTTTTATATTTTTTAGAAGTGCTTAGTTCACTTTGCATGATCACCATATATAATTCATGAAATCACCATTGTTTACCACTCCGTATAAATAAATAACAGCTTCTTGTTTTGGGAAGAATTGTTTGCAAAGTTTTTATATCATTACTAGAGATCCGGTGCACAAAAATTTGTGCACTCGGGGGGCGGGGGGGAGTCCCTCAGCCCGGCCTGTGCCCTCTCGCAGACGGGGACCCCTCGGGAGATAACGAACTGCTGCCTTAGGCCTGCTCCTGGGTGGCAGAGGGCAGGCACAATCCCTAGGTGCAGTCCCTGGTCGGGCTCAGAGCAGGGCTGATTGGGGAGTTGAAGCGCCGCCCCC